AACAAATGTTCTCCCTACGTCTGGCTTTTATGTGACAAATTTAAACAGGATAATCAAATTGTTACTTCAGATATAATGTTAATGCGCTCCATATTGCATCCAGCCAGTGCTGTGTTACTGCCAGAGCTACCGAGCTATATAAGAGATGGCTTAAAACAGAAGAAATGGAAAGGAATTACAAACAAATCACTAACATGGTTATAAGCTCAGAATTAATTACACAGGCAAACCTTTTTTTATTATTATTATAATACAAACATCACATATCCCTTGGTTGACCTAATCCTGTTAAAAATAGCTTAGTTTAGCTCAAATAGGTAAGCCATAGGAAAAATAGTTCCCTATAACAAATTGTTCTTGTTTTAACCATTTAGATCATCAGACATGTTTCAATTATAAGATATTGTAGTTTCCCATTTGGTAACTTTTTTGGTGTTGTCTCCATATTTCCTGCCTTCAATCTTATCAGACTCCTCCGACGTTAACTCCTTGTGTCATTGCATTTCCTGTTCTTGTTTGGTCTCCTCGTCTTCACATTCATTAAATGTTTTATTTCGACCAAATATATTTGAAATTCATGCTACCATACTACCTCTTATTGGCCTGTGAAGTCCGTACCTGAGGGACATCAAAGTTGGTGCGTGTACCACGAAAATAAGGCACGTCAGATAGGATTAGAAGTCTCTCTAACCATGGTATAAGTTTAACCACAATAGATTAACAAAACAAACTAAGGAAAATCTTTCAAGAAGCAACATCATCATGGTACTGTAAGATGAAGCTGTGTTGTTCTCTTTACAGTTTTATAAGTCACTGTGTCAGTACCTGGTGTAATACCAGAATAAAGTCCACATTTCCTTTAAAGTCACTGGTTGTGCTACTTGTTTGAGACCCCACACACAGTGTCTCTGTGTGAGACTGTCTTCAGCACATCAGTCTGAGCTTTTGAGAATGAACATCAGACATCCGACGGTCATTGCTATTCCCAGCGTTTCGTCTCCTACTCTTGTTTATCTTGTTGCAGAGCCGAGAGCAACCTGCCAAGCTGTGTGTCTGTGCATATGTGTGTGTTTGTGTCTATGGTTACTGCACACACCCACACCTGGCTGCTCATAAGGGGAAGTCTGCTGAAGCAGTACTGTTTACATGAGGAGGAACAAGCACACAGGCGCACACTGGCTCCACTGCTTCTTGTTCTTCCAAAGTCAACTCTGGACGTAGATGTCGTAATATGGGACCTGCTGCGACGGCGGGATCCCTGATGGTAGTTTCAACCCACACACTCCTGCAGCCGCTGGCTCCCCTCGGTGACAGAGCTTGTTTGCTGTTCTTCCTGTCTGTTGCACCTGCAGCATTAAGACCTTTGGATAGAAAGGTCAAGGATGCTGAAGAAATTCTTTGTTTGTTTTCCCTCCTAACATGCTCACACAGCTACAATCACAGACAAGGACTGTTTATGGGATTGTTGTTATTTTGTCTAACTTTTTTCGGTTCTCATGAACAGGATGTCTCAGTAGGGCCTGTGTTCATCTGTAAGAGGAGATCTTCTGTGAAACTGTACTACTTTGGATTTCTTAGTAAGCGTACAGATTCCAAATTAAAAAGACTCTTTTTATATCTACAGGTATCACCATATTTGCACACAAAGTTAAGCCAAAAATTATCTGTTCAGGAACTAAACAACATATATGCTAAATGATCAAATATTTAGATTATTATGGTTTCATAATCATCATTTTTATATGTACGTGTTACTCTTTTTAATATGAAAAATGCTCAGTTAAGGATAAAGTATAAAAAACAAATTTAGTTGTAGGTCTGAAGTACTTGCTGTACAAAACATTAAACCTTTTTTAATAATTATGACTTTCACAGATTAACACCAATTTATCAGGGTCAGTTTATAAATTGTTATTCACTTAACTCATCACCTTCTACTCAAGTAGCTACGTTACCAACTGTAATACAATCTTCCCTTTAGCAACAGCACTTGCTAAAGGAAGGACGTTAGAAAGAAATATATATAACTGTCTTGCTTACAAGCAAATGGGAATGTGCCGCACAGCTGTTTCAGCCAGCTGATTGTCAGTGCACAGTGAAAAATAAGGGATGAAAAATAAGGGATATCTGCACCTCATTCATTTTTTGCTCTTTCAAGCCACAGAAATAGTCAGTCACTCAGGCTCTTACTTTGACAACTGCATGTGGCTCAATACAAGTCTTGTCATAGTTTTATTTCACAGAAATATTTTCATCATCATAGCATAGTTCATTTGGTAATAGAAATGCTTTCAAAGGAGAGTTTGTTGAAAAGTTTGCAGTTTTGATATGTTTTTATTCCATTCAACCATTTTTTGTCACATTTGGCCGTGCTGGGGTTGCGAGGGATGCTGGTGACTACAGTATATCCATCTGTCTATAGGCGAGAGGCGGGGTACACCCTGGACAGGTCGCCAGTCCATCTCAGGGCAACAGAGAGACAAAAAGGACAAACAACCATTCACACCTAAGGAAAATTTAGAGAAACCAATTAACCTAGCAGTCATGTTTTTGGACTGTGGGAGTAGAGAACCCAGGCATTCTCATGGAAAACATGCAAACTCCATGCAGAAAGACCCCGGGCCAGGAATCGAACCTAGAACATTATTTTTGCAAGGCAATGTTTTTCATTCATTTATTCAAATACTTTGGACACTAAAAACTTTTTTAGGTCACTACAATAGTTAGACATTTTCAAAACCTGTATAACAAAATTAACCCAACAAAGTAGATAATCCAGATCCTGATTGTTGGACATTTGTCGACTTTTTTTAAAAATAGATCACAAGTCCATCAAATGATTCCTGTAATTTGAAATCTTTGAAAGAAAGTCACAGGGAGCGATGGATTGTTGAAGGTGATTATTAAACAGTAGCTTGGGTGACTTTGCATCATCTCAGTATTACCTAAAACAAATAACCAAATTATAATAAGTTCACATTTTAACTTTTGCAGTACAGACGTTCTATCTTATGAAAAAGGTTAAGAATTGTATCATTTTGTTTTCCAAGTCTATAAATCTATGAAAAGGATCGAAATTGAAAGTTAGGTCAGAAAATGATCTTTAGGCCTTTAGGCTTTTTTAAAAATTCTTCTAAGTCTGTAATAATACTGACATTTGAAAAGGGTGAATAGTCAGAACCTTGTGTTTCCAGAAGGAGTATGCAAGTATGGGGAATTACTAATATCAGGTGGTACCAGCATTTATGCTAAACCTCACAAATTATTTAGCCATTTATTTTGTTTGATTTAAAGTAATTTCAATGAGATGCCAGAGGAAATGCAAGAGTGAGTGTAGCTTTGAACGTAGAAAGTCCAACCCGTTCCTGCACTAAAAGCTGATCTGTACTGCCAGTAAGCTAGCTGAAACATGGCTAATGATCTCCTTTGATCTAAAAAGATATTGTCTATTTCAGACTATTTTCATTCTGAACATATATATTGTTATATATACAGTTGCTTGGAAACTGAAGTAAGTCCACCCATCATTCTTATCCTTAGACAGACTTTTCTATTAACAATACCTTGCAACAAGCCACAATTTACTAAGCCTAAATTAGATGAGCTAATGGACACTTTATTTCTGACTTATGTATAAATGTATTTACTCCTTGAATTCTGACTGATTCGACTGATTTAAACCAAAGTGTATTCATAGGTATCAGACTTGTTAGGCTAAACTTTACAGATTCTTTACACTGGTTTAAAAAAAATGGTGCTACATTTTCCTTTCAGTTTTGCTTTAATTCTTAAAGCTGACAATAAACTTCATTATTACATTTTAAAGTTTTCTTCTAAATGTGACGAAATGCTCAATGCTAAAGAATATTTTTTTTCAAGGCCATTGAAAATGGCTAAACTTTACATATTTATTCTCTGTTTCCTTTACTGTATGGTTTAAAATCAAACATTAGCCGTACAGAGTATTAATCCCTTAAAATAATCGGTGTCACATCAGTCTAGCAAGGAATAGGAATATCTAATCCTCTGCCTTAGGAAAATATGTGATTATATAGATGTTACTTCCAAACTTTGTATAAATTCTGTTATTTTTATTACGTTTTGATAAAAAATCACAGTTCTACAATGCAGCTAGAATCTGACAATGGTTGGTAGCTGCTAATCAAAGTGAATCACAATCATCTTCTTTAAAACATATGTAACTGAGAAGCTAAACTTAGTGTTTAACAAAGAAATGCAAGTGTAAGGGAAGGTTAACATTAGACATCTATGTTGTTTTATCTGTTCCTATTCTAAAGCTAAACATTTTGCTCTAACACCCGGACTTATTTGGGAAAGTCCTGCATAGTTTCACCTCTGTGCTGCGTTGCCACAGCTTCTACTCATCTGAATCTGTAGAATTCAGTCAGTTGATGTCAGATTACTTCCAGTTTGTGCATGACACCTCCAACTTTACCTCAATGCTCTGAGTTAGCAGTATTTATTTGTCAGCAGCGCCACAAGTGCCGTCATTTGAGCCCTCACCGACACAAACAGAACAGACAGACACAGCTGAGGGTATAGAGGAGGTCACAAGAGAGGGACCATCTGATGCCAGCAGATGGAGTGATGGAGGGAAGAGAGCAGAGGAGAAGCTGGAAATCAGGGCGGCACAAAGTGAATGCTGGGAGGCTTTTCTAAAGGCACTAATTTCACTTCCCATCCTTTCTGCTCCAGCGAGCCCACCTTATGCTACACTTTGGGGAGGAGGAGATAAAATATCTGACAACACTGACACTTGAATAACTGAACTTTACATTTTGCTAAACAATCAGGAAAAATGAATCAGGAAAATAATTATTTAGTTGGAATCAGCATAAATCTTAGAGCGAAGGATGAGGCCCATTTACTGGATTAATAGGGTATCTGTGAATTGTTAAGCTGCATCAGCACAAATTTAGAAAGCCACTTGCTTTTCTGTCACCTAATGTCACCTCTGTGTTTCTGTCTCTTTGTTGAAGAATGGAGCAGTTCCAGGGGAGCCCGTGAAGAAGGATGAAAACTCCCGCAGGGGAAACTGGGGCAACCAGATTGAGTTTGTACTTACAAGTGTGGGCTACGCAGTGGGCCTCGGCAACGTCTGGAGGTTTCCTTACCTCTGCTACAGAAATGGAGGAGGTATGCATTTCAGTTACCTGTTTGATATAAAAACTTAGACCTGTGCACTGTTTTAGGGATATTTAGGATAAATAGAAGGTGAGCTTTGCACAAATTGACATTGCTGTCAAAGATATTAAGCTCACATAGTTCAACGTCAAAAAGTAATTGGTAGTGGCTGCATCATGCTGTGGGGGTGGGGGGGTGGGGGGGTTCTTCAGCATGGAAAACAAAGCTGTGTAGATGTTGGGGGAAATTAATATGGTTGAATGAAATGTTTATCTTGGAAAAACATCTGGTGGAGGGGGTGCAGAATGAAGGGGAACTTAAGGTTACAGGACACCCCACTTCTGTCTCAGGGGTGCTGTGTCCTTGAGCAGGACACTTCCTTTGCATTGCTTACTTGCATTACTTGCTCAGGGGGTATGGTGGCACCTGAGTATGGCAGCCTTACCGTGCCCCAAGGCAGCTGTGGTTGCAATGTAGCTTGCCGCCATCAGTGTGTGAATGCATGCGTGGATGGGTGAATGAGTGAATATAGTGTAAAGAGCTTTGGATTCCCCTGACTTGTAAGGGTGGTATATAAGTACCAACCAGTTACCAAAACATTGAAATGTGATGCGAGCTCATCTTCTAGCAGGACAGCAACCATACGCAACTCAACAGACATGTTTTAGAATGGCCTGGTTAAAGACAAGTATTAAATATATATGATAAGAATGCTGGAACACTTAAATTAGAGTTTAGTAATGGCTATCAAAGCCAAGACAAGTTGTAAAATAATATCAGCCTGATGTGCAAATTGGGTAGAAACAAAATCCAGACTTTCTGTGCTTGTAGCAAGTGTCCTCTAGGAACTGTTGGTACAGGAAGGCTAAACATACAAGTCATGTTTAATATTTATATTTTTTCAAGGAAATACAGAAATTTGGGGAAGCTTATTCAAGGTTGACGGTTCCTGGATGCTATTTTAGAATCAAATTTTAGGTTTTTCTTTTTTTTATGATAAAGCTTTAAAATACATTTTGAGCCTCAGGGAAGTTGTTAACTATATGCAAGATTTCTAAGAAAAACACAAACACAGAAAAGGGACTAAAACTACTCCAAGCTGGGGTTTTAACAACCAATCAAACCGTGGACAATATCTAGGCACACAGTAAAAATTTTAGTACGTTTAGTAATCAAAGTAACATGAAACTTAAATATTTACCAGAAACAGAACAGGAAATAAAGCAAAGCAGAGTAAAAGAATGAACCTGTATAGAACAATGGCGGCCAGAAGTGTTTTATGCTGAGGCAGGGACAGAAAATTAAATTTGAATCAGGTCAGTTTATTTAAGGGACTGCTTAAAGATTGTTGCAGATTAAGAGAAGGGATACTTGGGAAGTCTAATTAACAAAAGAAAAATACAATTAGAGGTTAACTAAACACTAAGGAGCGAAAGCCTAGCACTAGAATGCACTTTAAAATGCACAATCGTAACATAAGGGACTGCTTTAGAGAACCGCAGCCCCAGTCGGCCTCCGCAGATTGCTGAAGTAAGTGTGCTTTTTCTGGGGTGCAGTGTGAGATGGCTGCTCACACTGAGCCTGGTTCTACTGGAGGTTTCTTCCTGTTCAAAGGGAGTTTTTCCTCTCCACTGTCGCAACAAGCATGCTTAGCGTGTTGGATTGCATTTGAGTCAATGAGTCGATACAATCAACTGGTTTTCCTTAGATAGAAAACTTTGAATCAATTTGACTGCATGATGTGGTTGAACTGTAAAGTGCCTTGAGATGACATGTGTTGTGAATTGGTGCTATATAAATAAACTGAATTGAATTGAAAATGAAAATATCGTGGATTTATAACAGGTTCGAAATGAGACAAAAATAAATGCAAAATAAAAACATCAACAGATCCACTTAGATTTGTCTCCAATCAATATTAAGCATTTCTTACTTAGATCTGATGCTGCATTTAGGTTGTTACCTCCAGCTATTGTAGTAATAATGTAATTGAAAAAGATTCCATCACTATTACAGAATTCTGACTTTGAATCATTTCATATAATGAGCTCCCTTGATGCTTATTAGGTTTCAGAAATAGCGGGCTGTATTTAAACTACATAATCACTATTTGCCCTTTTGCATGTGTTAAGATAATTTTGTGGGATGACAGGTTTATGTTAAAACGAAGGTATTTAAAATTCAATATATGTATACTATGTATGTTCATGTCCTTTAACCTGAACTAGTGGGTCCTCTGTGTTCAGAGGTGGGTTTTCCAGGTTTAGGAAGTTACTGTAAAAGATAAGATACGTTTCAGCTCTCATATCTCTTACCAACAACATAGACAAGCATTAATATATCAAACATCTCAAACTCTAGTTCTCAGGCTGATATCCTGAAACTTTTAGATGTGTTTCTCTTTCAATACACCTTACTCCTGTGCTCATTAGCAGATTTTCTTAAACCCTAACTACATGCCAATAAGGTAGTTTATCCATTTGATTCAGGTGTGTAAGGCAAGGGACACATCTACAAGTTGTCGGCCCTTAAAAAACTGAGTTTAACAACACTGGTTTCAAATCACCTGGTTAAGTGAACAGAAAGAGGGAAAACTTGATAGGGTTTTACTTACTAATGCCAACTATTGCCCTCTATCTTAAAAAACATATGCACTTCTTGAACTTAATGACAGTTTGTCACAATACAAATTAGACCTTTAGTGTGTTTTATTGTTTAAACAGGCTTCATTTTGCTATAGACTATTTTTTCTGATAAGATGGCAATTTTTTCCAAATGTTGGGGGCTCCAAAATTGCAGATGAAAAGAAATTATAATAATTTTTTGTCTGGCAGAACACTGAGAAATGAGAGGTAAGAAAACAGCCTTAGAGTAAGGGAAAGAAGAATGATAGCGACACCATATGGGTCACAAAAGAAGAAGGTCACTGTATGTGCAAGAGCTGAGGAAATAAGGGAAGATATATATTTTGTTAGCATAAGTCCTAAAGATAAGAAGATTTCGGCGAAAGAAGACAATGAATATCCAACTGATGAAGAGGAAAAATAAGGCATAAAATCAGGGAATCCAGCTTATCCAACTGCCCCACCTGGTATCTAATTATCCTCGGTATGAATTCCAATACAGAGACATTAGATTTAGTTTTCTGTAACATTTTGCTGTTGAGCAAAAAAAACATTGCCTTTAGCTCTCCTAAAAATGATGACTGCAATCAGTATGGTAAATTAAGTTATTTTTCTGAATTTGTAATAAACTGAAATTGATGAAAATGTATTATGAAATACAATTATAAAAAATGTAAATCATAACTTTAGTTTTGAAAAAAAAAAAATATATATATATATATAGCAACACTTTGAGCAACACGTTGAGGCAATCACTGAAATCAGGTGTTTTCTGTAACATTCAGGAAATAATCAGTCAGGAATGTTGGTTCACTTTAATTTGTCTGAGACAGATTGTTATTTAAAACTGCTGATTTAAACAATAAAATCAGTATTTTATTTACTAAATTATAATTTAGCAAATTTTTATTTTTTATTACTTTTTAAGTTTTGTGTTATTTTAATTGTGTGAATTTATCATTTTCTTTAATGGAACAGTTGAAGCACAACTGGATGGATGGATGGATGGATGGATGGATGGATGGATGGATGGATGGATGGATGGATGGATGGATGGATGGATGGATGGATGGATGGATGGATGGATGGATGGATGGATGGATGGATGGATGGATGGATGGATGGATGGGTGGATATTTCGTACATATTTTAATAATTTCCCTGGATTAACTGGTATAATAAACTTCAGCCGAATCCACATGGACAAGGGTTTATTACACATGAAGGACTAATTTCAGCTTGCAGCTGAAAGCCAGTGTTGCAGCACCACTGAGTGGCCTCAGCTGGATATTTACTGACCTCTCAGGAAATGCATACGAGCCAACCTCACAGATGAGGATTATCTTTACTCATTTGTTCTGTTTTGCAGTATTCAGGAAATAAAATGACTCAATATTTTCAGAAGTGAAACTAAATATTTTGCAATTCAGATATACCATGTTTATTAAGCAGAAATTCATAGATAAGATCAATATAAGATTTAAACTAATTATGCTTTTATTTGGATCCCCTTGAATTTGTTGTCAAAAAAAATCAAAATCAGAAAAGTTTACAGGAGAAATTAAAATCATAATACATTTACCAGTTGAAATCTGTTCTTCAGGAATGATTGATCTTTAATCATTTTTAAATCTTCTTTCTTCTGGCATTTATACATTTAGTTTTTCTTGTTAATAATCAGATAATAACACCAGGGTTTGCCCTTGTACACCTCTCTCACTAGGTGCCTTTATGCTGCCATATTTCATCATGTTGGTATTCTGCGGCATCCCTCTCTTCTTCCTCGAGCTGTCCTTTGGTCAGTTTGCCAGCCTTGGGTGTCTGGGTGTCTGGAAGATCAGCCCCATGTTCAAAGGTACAAATCATGCGTATGGAGGATTTTTTTTTCTTTAATTTTCTTTTGCATAACTAATACATAATCAGAATAAAGTGAAATTTGTGAAAATGTAACATTTCTTCTAGCAAGTCGTCATTTAGTATTTTTCTTGCAATGTTTTCGCAATATTTTAGCCCTGCATAATCTACTGTCTTTCTTCCCCTCCTAAGGTGTTGGTTACGGCATGATGGTGGTGTCCACTTACATTGGGATTTATTACAATGTGGTCATTTGCATCGCCTTCTACTACTTCTTCATGTCGATGACAAATCTGCTGCCCTGGACATACTGCAACAACCCCTGGAACACTCCGGACTGCAGCGGGGTGGTAGGCAGTGGCGGCCAGCTAAACGGCAGCCTGGTGAACGCCACCACCAGTCTCGTAGCAGGGGTGACGGAGGTAGTCAACCGCACCAAAAGGACCAGCCCCAGTGAGGAGTACTGGAAGTAAGTAGGATTTCCGTGTTAACAATAACATTTAAAGAAGCTGCGGGAAGCAGTAGGTAAAATCAAATATAAGAATTAAGGGATTTCTATATTCAAGAGGCACAAACTTTACTTTTTTGTTTGTTAAGATAAAATTGCACTTATAATTGCTAAACAAACCTGATTGTGCATGCTTTAGTTGTCCATATGCATTATTGCAATAAAAGATACTTGACAGGTAATCTCTATTGACAGTCTTAAAGGATAATCGTATTTGGCACAGGATACCATCAGGAAGATAAGCTTAAAGTAAACATAGCTCATGTTTGCAGACCGCTATCAAATATTTAAACAAGATGTGACAAAACACAACTGTATTTGAGCATTGTGGGATTACATGACCAAAAGAGGCTTACAGTGCCTCACAAAGTATTCACATCGTTTACAAATGTTCACCTTTTTACACGCTAAAATCAAAACGTCTGTGAAACTTAGACAAAGTAATAGATAATTGTGAATTATAAGGATACTCATAAAGAGGGTGTTTTTTGTGTGCTGCTTAAATAGGAAATTACTAATATTTTAAGGTGTGCAATCTGTTAAAGATTCAAAGGTTTTCTTTAGAACTTCATTGATCAAACATCACGATGAAGACCAAGGAAAACAGCAAACCGGTCAGGGATAAATCACACGGAACATTGTTTAATCCATCATTTGGAAATGAAAAGAGTATAGCAAAGCTGCAAAGCAACAAAGACATGCCCTTTCACCTAAACTGCCAGGCCAGGCGTAGAGAGCATTAATCACAGAAACAGCCAAGAGGCCCCGTGGCAATGGAGGAGGACCTGCCAACGGCATAACTATTAGCTGGACACCTCACAAATTTGGCCTTTAAGGAAGAGAGACGAGAAGAAGATGTGGCAAGGGCAAAGCATTTATCAGAGTAACAGCCAAGAGACCTGTGGTAACAGGATGAGCTGCAGAAGACTGCACACCATCCTTAACGTGTCAACATGGTTGCAGCAGCTGTGAACTTACGGATTTTTTCAAAAACAAAGCTGATCACAGTTAATGGGAAAATGGTTAGAACTCATTATGCATTTGCATCTTTCCACTAGACTGGAGCATCAGCTTCCAGTTAGACTTAAATCTACAGACAAAGCTACAATACATGTGGTCACATATTCATAGGCAGTAATGCCCTAGTTAAAGCCCATAAGCAGCTCGAGTTGAGAATCTGCTGTAAGAAAATGTATGGTTTAAGCCTTTTCTTATATAATTAAATAGAGCTTGAACTATTTTGCTAAAAAATCTGGTAAAAAAATCTTTGTTACTAGATGTGCAAGAAAGAGACATCTAAAAGACAAAGAAAAAAATATTCACTCAATGTTCTTACTGCAAACCCCTGCTTGGTGGCTGGCAATAAAACCATGGAAATATTTTGTTGAACAACAAATATGTTCAATACCAATAGAATCAATAAAATATATTGAGGTTTAGGGTTGTTGAATTATAACAAATGAGAAAGCATGGGGATAAATTGTAAACGCTCGAAGATGATCGTATCGCTTCTTACTCTTTTAACAACAATCCAGCTTAAAAAAAAACATTATATTGTGAATAATAACTAAAACATTTAAAAATTCTGTTTCTTGTTTTATTTTTCAGACACTACGTGTTGAATATCTCGGATGATATTGGAAACTTTGGAGAGGTTCGCCTCCCCATCCTGGGTTGCCTGGCTGTGTCCTGGGTTGTGGTCTTCCTCTGCCTCATCAGGGGTGTGAAGTCCTCAGGAAAGGTCAGGCTGTAAATTAAATATTAATAGTGTTTTGAACATTTTCAAAGACAAGTTCCATATCGGCTTTCCTGAGATTGATTTCAACAGCTGTCTGTAATTACCGTGTGTCTAGGTGGTGTACTTCACAGCCACTTTCCCTTATGTGGTTTTGACCATTCTTTTTATCCGTGGCATCACACTGGATGGAGCTATTAATGGAATCAAGTACTACCTGACTCCACAGTGGCAGAAGGTCCTTGATGCAAAGGTACTACTGATCTAACCTGGCAAATAAAGACTAAATAGTTTGTTTTCTGACATTCTCTTTGTTTCTTTGCTGTTTTCCTGTAGGTTTGGGGAGATGCTGCCTCACAGATCTTCTACTCCTTGGGCTGTGCCTGGGGAGGTCTCATCACTATGGCTTCTTATAACAAGTTTCACAACAATTGCTTTAGGTTAGTCTTAAAGACTGACTGAAAAAACACAAAAAAAAACTGATAATAGGTGTAGGAGTTTAAAACGTCTGCAGCTATTTAACACAAGGGTTGAATACAAAGGACATTTTAAATCTAAGATTTTTTCTCACTTAAAAAGGCTGTCGAGTTGGTTTATTGTAAAAACTGCCGACAGAATAAGCTCAAGTATCTGTTTGTAATAAAAGAAAATGAGAAAAGGTTAAGGGGTAGATATATTTTAGAAATGAAGCCAGGAAAATCGATTAATGGAAGGTGAGGTGATTGTAAAACGTTCAGTTCTCTCATCCATAAAAATGTAAGAAACTAAGAAATATACTTTCCAGAAAAAGTAAAAAGATAACATATATCTATACATTATATATATATATATATATATCTGTGCTAAGACATTGTTTGCTAAGTGCTTGGTCAACAAGGGACAGAGCAATCAGCCTTAGAGAAGGTTGAAACGTAGGAAGTGAGAGATAAAAAGGAACAAAATGTGTCATTTATTTCCCAAGATTGTGCCCTCATGTTGACAGGAGGTTCCAGAGGGCAAAGAGGGAGGTTGAAGATATAATTTGTTCCAGGACTAGGAGCTTAAGATAGCACTATCTGTCCAGGCAGCTGCATGGAGGTGCCAGTGAGCCTGTGTTGTGTTCTGCAGCACAGTCTCTGCAGAGACACATCCTGCTCTTCCTTAACACCAGTTGGTGCATATGCAGAAGTGCAGAGGGTAGGAGAGACCCCAAGTCTCAGGGATAAGAAACAAGCAGACATTAATGTTATCAAAGATATCAGCCTTTATGACCTTAATAGGGAATGTAATCATAATTCCCTTTGTTGCACCTAAACCTTCAAAAAGTTTGAGCAGATGTAACAAAAGAATCGACAAAAAGAGGAAGAGTAGATCAGCTTTGACATGTCAGACTTGCGTCTATATCTTTTTATTTTGGCAGGCTTTTTATTCAGCCTAAAAGATGCATCAGAGTACATGCTGTTGATTTGGTTTTGGATCAAAATTGATGGAAGTTGTTGGATCTGATTCATCCAATTCATTGAAAAAAGATCTTAGATTTTCAAAACTCTAATGGAATTATTGGATGATCTCTAACTTATCTAGCTATTTTTGTCATAAAGTTTTCTACTAAAGATATTTCTTAGTGTCAGTAACACTGAACACCTTCATTCTACAAATTTTACAATAAAGTTTGTTTAGAAAATGAAGGAACAAACATACTAGTTCTTAAAGTACCCTGAAGAGATGTTAAGTGGTTTCAGTACAAGAACATTTTCTTGACACAATCCCTGTGCTTGGCATAGATAAAGGAGTTGGTAATGGTGTTGTTATAGTCAGTAGAGTGTATCATACCTCTCATTATCTTTTCTTTCTGTTCCATTGTGCAGAGACAGCATCATCATCAGCATAACTAACTGTGCCACCAGCGTGTATGCCGGCTTTGTCATTTTCTCCATCCTGGGCTTCATGGCGCACAACCTGAACGTTCCAGTGTCTGAAGTGGCTGACCACGGCCCCGGACTGGCCTTCGTGGCCTACCCTGAAGCTCTCACTCTGCTGCCGATCTCTCCTCTGTGGTCCCTACTGTTCTTCTTCATGCTCATACTATTGGGACTAGGAACTCAGGTGGGAACAGGAAGCTGTACTCACAATTCACAATAAAGACGGCAGTGCTAAGGTTATTTTATTGTTTAACAAATCCAACTTATAGGGTCCTGAAAGGTAACGGTAACGTTGAGGTCAGCCAAAGACATTGCTGTTCATTTTTTTCTTTTACAGATAATTTATTATGTTTATCAACATTTCTATGTATTCAAGGGAATACAAACATTTGCATTTCCAATACAATACTGATATTGTAGCCCCGAGTACGGATCAATACCCGTTTGATGCGATGATATATCAGCACGAATCATACATATTTTTATTACAAATTTTGTGGTGTGGAATATTTTTAAATGCCTGTTCATGTTCAAGATATTACTCAAACAGAGAATAACAATAACAAAAAAATAATGAAAAAAATAATGACTAATTTATCATCAACCAGTGGGTTAAATACACTTTAAACAGAAGCACATATAAACATGTAACATGAGTGTTTTATCAGCTTGCTTATATTTCTTTTTGGGTTGTACCATTTTTTGTTGAACAGTTTTCCAATATCAATATCAGATTGGGACATCCCTACTTTATTGTATTTTTGCTAATTAGAGAGTACAAAAAAAAAACAGTAACATAGAAACCAACTGTCTCTTGTTTGGCTACCAATGTTGGTGCCCTTCAGTTTGTTAGATTATGTCATTTTAAACTTTATTTAAGGCATCTTTTTTATTGTAAAATAGCTTTGAAATATAGGATAAAGGTAGGCTCCTCAAGATGACCCAGTAAATTTCCCTCATTTAAACCCAGTTAAATTGCTATTGTATTTCCTGCTGATTGTTTAGCAATGCAAAAGTGTAATATTTTAAAGAATACATTTTAAATTATTTGATCACCTGAAGTTGAAGTTGAAAATAGATTCTCTACCAGTGATACAAATTAGTTTAGATCATTAACAAATTTTGCAACAAAATGTCTCTCTTATTTACTTCTTTTAGTCTAAAACAATCCCACATCATGATGCTGCCACCACCTCTTGCTGATATGATACCTTTTTATATACAGTTATAACATTTAAATGATACTTCTGATAAATTATGTGCAGAAAATCTGAATATATGCACTTTTAAATACCAAATTATTTTAGTCATGTTTTCCTCACTAAAATCTAATAGAAATCTCTGTTGTTAAAAACTCAGTTACTAAACATTAATATTCTATAATCGAAATATCAAAGTTTTAATGATATTCTTCTCAGTGGTCATTATGGACTGTTGGTGGCAGCCCTTAAATGTTGATTTTTTTGCTTTTTTATGTAAAGGTAGATTAATAGCTTTTTCTTTCTGTTTTTTTTCCTATAGTTCTGCCTGTTGGAGACGTTGGTTACAGCCATCGTGGACGAGATTGGCACAGACTGGATTATTCGAAATAAGACAGTAGTCACACTCTCAGTGGCTGTGCTTGGTTTCCTGCTGGGCGTTCCATTGACCACACAGGTAAGTCATGGACCCATATTTAAAAATACAGACTCTTTGCCCTTGTCTAGAACCCATTTTTAGTGCAATCTTGTCTCTTTTTTATGTCTCGCTCATAGGCAGGAATCTATTGGCTGTTGCTGATGGACAACTATGCTGCCAGCTTCTCACTGGTCGTCATCTCATGCATCATGTGCATCTGCATCATGTATATTTATGGTAAGCAGGAGTGCACTGTCCATAACCATATTTAACTAGTCACATTCTGACAGAATATAAAGAAGATGTTCAACTACTGTCAAGAAATGTCTTTTTTTCACTGTCTGCGTCACTGCACCTACAGGGATATATTAAGCTAATTGTTGCTCTTCAGGCTTGGCACACAGACCAGCATGAAAATATCAGCAAGCTTATAGAGAACAAAGGCAAAAGCGCACATGCAGTAATCCCCAGTGACGGTACAAGGCAAACCCATTATATATGTTTTTTTATGGTGTAGATGATTATGTAAATGAAGTCATACTTAACAAACCTTCAATCTATTTTCCATCTGGCATGTTTGCTTTTAAATTGTTTCAGTAGTAATCATTGGGACGGACAGCAGTTGTGCTCTCAGGTCACTTGTCTTCAACAAAGATGTTTGATTATGGAGTAGGAGGGTTTTTGTCAGTCTGTGATAGACAAGGCAGCAAGGATGACGAGTCAGAGGAGTTTACTGAAAATGACTGAATTCATCCAATACAGGAAAATTGGACTAAAGTGTCTTCCTCCATGTTGAAAGTGGTTGCAGACTTCAGTGTGTTTCTCTGAGTTATCACCAGTCAATGAAACCATAACTGATCATTTTTGGGCTGTGACACAGTTGCAAAAAAATGAACATCTTTCAACTTTTCTGTGTTCCTTTGTGTGTACAAGCTTAAAATTTCACATGCACATGTTTGGTTGTAGAAGGGCAAATTAATGTTGCCTCATCGAAAAAGTACGAAATGAATGGAGAGGGAGAGATGTTGTGCCCTTGAAAGTGAAGGATAAATTAGATGAAAATCAGAAAGGTAAATCTCCAGTCCCTTAAGACTTCAGTGAAACATTTAAAATCTTTTTTTTTAAGACTACTTAAGGAAACCTCACAGGAAAAAAAATCTATGTTTGCCTTATTAGCTTATTGATCAGCGCAGCCTTTACAAAAAAATGTGAGCTTTGAACATTTCAATGAGCACCGTTTAATCCAAATTCTAGAAGTAGAAACAAAGACTGCAAATGTACCAAGACATTACTGTCAGCTGCTTAGAGAGTCAAGGTAACCATGGAAGAGATTAAATCTATCAGTCATGCTCCTTAAACTCCTGAGATTAACAATTTGCTAAGTTTCTATGACAGTTCATCAGATACAATAAAAAAACTAGAGAAACTATTTTAAACGCATTAACCATTAAACTCAAGTTACAGTGAAACCAGAGCATCAATACAGAACAAAAATCTACCTCATAATTGGATTAGACCTTTTTAAACATGTTTTAGTTATTATTATTTTTATCCCTAAGCAAACAGAACTAAATCTAATGCACTGGCTTAAAATAAAGTTATTCCAATATGTCAGAATTTCCCAAGTTGTAGCAGCATTAAAGCAATTAATCAGCTCATCAGAGCCTGTTCCCGCAAATTAACCTGCAGTCGCTGTTCAGTTGTTTTTAAAGATGACTCATCCGCCAGTTTCCAGCAGGGCATTTCCCCCTAATTAGGACTTCGATCTCAGTAAACCTGTCAGCTGAACTAAGCAAAGCTGTCAGGAGAGTCATTGTTATTCTGAGCAAAGAGGGGCTTTTTTTTCAGAGTCAAAACAAGAACAGGGAAGGTTTAAAATGCTTTAAAGAATATAGATCAGGTACATTCAGAAGGTCAACATATCAAGCTTTTTCCCTAAGAGAACGTAAAGACAAACGAAGTGATGGAACAGCCAAATGTCCATTTCTTTTGTATTTTGCAACTAAAACCTAGTGTAAGACTCAACTTACTGGTTAAAACTTGCTTCCCCTTGCAGGTCACAGGAACTACTTCAAGGATGTTGAGATGATGCTGGGCTTCCCTCCTCCTCTCTTCTTCAAAGTCTGTTGGAGATTCATCTCACCTGTCATTATCTCTGTAAGTTCACTCACACACATTACCACACACTCTGAAACCAGAAAGCCTGTACGGTCGTTTAAAGGCATAGATATATTTGAAGAAGTGTTTCTGACTTGTTGACCAGTTAGTTGTTAGGGAGCTGACCTACATTTCAGCTACCATTAGAGCTAATCTCCAGGCTCACTGCTTTTCTTTCTAGAATAAATTACTGAAAGCTAATCTTTTGGAACGGGAAATGAACGCATGAAGCTGCCGTCAACAATATTTCCCAAACTGCCAAATTAGTCCTTTCATGCCTACTCTGTCAACTGAGAAATGTATTCTTTTGGATTACTGGTCATATCTTGGACTTTTGTTCTTTTTTGCATAATAGGATGCAAAAGGCAAACTCCAACTCCTTGTTAAAACTGCCATTGAACTTTTATAATTTTTTTATTTTAGCTTTGACTGAGTGAAATATTTTTTTGATTATGTTATGTCTCTTTCTGTTATATACTGTTATTTTAAAACTGCATTATGAAAAAATCTTGTAAGCTTTTTTAGGCCAAATACAAGAGAAGTTGACTGGTGACTAAAATCAAAGGATTTTTCTGTTAGGTGGCAAGATTCATTGGACGAATCTATCAACCATATAGGGTCAATAATGCTGAAAAAAGAAAATTCCTTAACGTGTTGTTTTTGTTTTGTTTTCTTTCTGTTTCTCTGCAGTTCATCCTAATCTTTACCGTGATCCAGTACAAGCCTATCACTTACAATGAATACGTGTATCCTGGCTGGTCTCTGGCTATTGGCTTTGCCATGGCACTATCCTCTGTGATTTGCATACCCGTTTATGCCCTGTACAAGATTTCCAGGTCCCCAGGGACTACCTTCAGAGAGGTACAGTACAGACAAGAAAAGGCTGCTCTGCATATTTATATCTGCTCTAAAGGAAACCTGTGCTTGAAATAACTAGAGCATCTCTTTACATTTTTAGAAATGTTTTGCAATCACTGAGGTACTGGTACTATAGGTTGTTGGTGTTGTTGCCTCTACTTAAAAGTTGATGTTGACAATGTCATAAAATGTTGTAAATCAAATGAAACAGAAAAACGTGATGAAATCATGTTTTCAAATTTTAAATAATTATCCTAACAGAGAACAATCCAGATTTTTGTCATTTTGCATTTGGTAAGTTTTCAATGAGCCATTTGAGTGTTAATAACCTTCATTAGGTGGACTAAGCTTGTGATGCCGTTTAGCAAAAACAAGTGTCACATTCTACAATTTCCCAAAGAAAAAAGTTAGTTTACTTGAGAAATCCTCTGGATTATTGGACTGTATCAGTATTATTTAATTCAATTTTATTGTCATTACACTGTCACAAGTACAGAGCAATGAAATGAATTCTCTGCATTTAACCCATCCCCTTGAGGAGCAGTTGGCTGCCATTGTGCAGAGTGGGAGTGGGGGATTGAACTCACAATCTCAGGATTCAAAGTCCTATGCCCTAACCACTAGGCTGCCACTCCCATTGGGTATAGTGAGGTCAGCAGAGGCTTTTTGTGCTCAGTAAGAATATTTTATTGGAAAATATATATTTAAATCCAGGGTATGCTTTTTAAAAGCCAAAATAAGAGGTGATCAACAGATTCTAAAGGTGCAAAACAGCTTTTAGCTCTTCAAAATGTTCCCTAATACTAAATATTTAACTGCTTTTTGTTAAACAAACACAAAGTAACTCCCTGTGATGTGATATTGCTGCTCAGTTTAGTCCCACTGAACACACACCAGCTGTGCACATGTAGGGTCTAACATTTTTGCACAATCTTCTTTGTTAATTAGCTTCAATTAGATTAGATGGAGAGCATATTTGAAAAGCAGTTTCCAAGTCTTGCTACAAATGGTTATCTACATTTAGGGCTAAAGTTTGAATTTTAACACTTGAATATGTTTTGATATAAATAACCTGTTGTATTACTGCTCTAGCCTGTTTTTTTTAGCTAGTTGAAAAATAGAATCAGACAATTTTCTTGCAGGTTTTTACATAATTCCACGTAAATTCTCCTGTTCTCGGCTTCTATTCATCATTAAATTCACTGTGATCAGTAAAGATATATGAATATTACTGCAGCACTGGGTTTCAAAATGTTAAAGTCAAAAACACTTTTAAACCATGCATTGTTTTCAAGAATAATCCAGTAATAAAAAAAATGATTAAAAGATATACAAGCATATAATGTAACAAATTTTCGATTTTGAAATGGAAAAATCTTTATTCATTATGCATTATTAGATCAATAAATACAGTTTTCATAATCTTTTTTTAAAACTTAAAATTTTTATATTTGATATAATTGTTTTCTAAAGATTTGTCTCCTCATGAATTGTCGCTGTCCACCTTTTCTTTCCAGCGGTTGAAGCATGCATGCCAAGCACATCCAAAATGGGGCCCAGCCCTGGCCGAGCACAGAACAGGCCGCTACGCCCCGATGGCTTCTGGTGACACCGTTGAGGCCCGACCCCTAAAGGAGAAGGAGGAGCTCAGAGAAGAGCACAATGAGGAGAAAGCTAAGGAGAAGGAGAAGAAGGAGGAGATTAGCCTCACCATCCAGGGAAGCAACGGTTCCACCAACACACACAACAACCCTAACCCCAGCGCATAGACGCCACCCCTCTCTGTCAGCGCTACTGGGCATGACCTCTGCGGCCTCCGGTCTCCTCCTTCTCTTCCTCCCTTTTCCCCACTTCTCCTCCATCCTCACCCTACTTTCCCACAGTTCTCTGTGGGGGAGATCCCATTCGCTGGAGACCTTTACATATTGTAAGGGCTTATTATATCTATCCTAACCTCTTCTATCTGTCTGCGTGTTATCTCTAGATAAATGAAGAAAAAAATGAAAGGATAAAAGAAATTGGGTCATCATCCAAAAGAGCTGTGTGTTTGTAAGCATGTAAGTGTGTGTACATGTGTGTGGGAGTGAGTTGTTAATTTGTTTCTGCATAATTTAATTATGCAGTTTGTTATTCCTTTCATTTTTTTTTGTAAAACTTGTAAATGACATCCTCATCAGCAGTTAGAGGTACAGTAGATTGTGAAGCTGCATGTGCTCGTTTTGTGCATGCAGTTGCAAAGAGACGCACACTGTTCTCCTGTATTCATTTCGCTGGGTCAGTTTGGGATGGATGACTTTGTAGTGGCAGCAGTCAGACAGCTGGAGACCTGTTGTGGTGCTGTAGCCTAGAGGGGGGACGGCAAACCGTGTCGGCACTGGCCATCTGATACGGAACAATGATATTAGGCTTAAATTTGCAGCCAGAAAAGGAGGCGGATACACTGAATCATGCTCGTAGATATGAAGGGTCCAACCTGCTTCCAAAAAAGATAAAGATAGAAATATATAATTGGCTAAAAAAATAAATAATGTGCAAACGAATATACCCAAACATATACTGGTATACAAAGTGCCATAATTTGTATTGGTAAACTTTATTAATGTGTTATTCTTCCTGTCTATTTACTCCAATATCTCTACTTGTTCAGCTGATATTTATTTAGTTATTTTAAATGTTTAACTCTTTAATTATAACTCTTCTTTATTTCTACATCCTCTAAGATGCTTAAATTTTGTTAAAACATGTACTGTACTTTATTATTGACCACCAACTTTATACTTTGTAAATTTAGGCATATAACCTTAATGTCTTGTTATGTATTTTTTAAAAGCTTAAATCTGTCAAAACAGAATTATTTTAGATAAAGTGAACAATAAAAGACAAAAAATAGAGATGTCACAAAATCAAAGAGCAAGAAATTAAGGAAATAAATAAGTATATGAATAAAACTTCAAATCAAAAATTTTAAACTAAAAAGGAGTGATAGTAACACTGAAAAATTATTATAGTTTAAATCCTAAACAAATATAGAATGTTGCCATTACTGCAGTATTTTTTCTTGCTTTTTGGCATATCAATTGAGCCATTTGTTTATTTCTGTTTTTGTTAATTGTGGCAGGTTTGGCCTTCCATATAATTCTCTGAATACAGCATTTACCACAGAACACAGTGAACTCAGACTAAGTTAATCTCAGTTTAGGACCAAGCCTCTTGTTTTCTTACGCTGCTTTTTCTTCAAATGAACCATAAAGAGCACAAATATTTAACTTAATACAAGAATATGAATGCCACTTTAGGCTGATTTTCTGCAGGAATTTCCCCTGTAGTTATCTGTTTTCATTAAAGCTGCTTAGATCCTAACTTTTATGAAAAAAAGACATTAAGGATTAATATTGTAACACTCTCTGTCATTACATTATCGCATGTGAAGCATTTTTTGTTGTTGTTATTTTTGACAGAAGAGGTCCTATTGCCCATTTCTCAGGGTCCATGCGGTTCCTTACCTGTGGAATCTATAACAGGAACTGAAACCTCGGAACTTTATTCATTGTCTGAGAACACCCACATATGTACACAATGCAGCTCTCAGAATACATACTGAAGTGCCATCTCTTCTTAAGTCTTCCAGGCATTATTTTTGAGTGCATCTTGGGATGTGATCTCTAAAGGAGAATGTGTATTATAGTCGGTGTCTCTAATGGGTCGTAGTAGTCTGCCCCCATCTGGCATGCAACCTGAATTACATGAGTGGTGCATATCTTATTGGTGAAGTACAATTTAGAAACTGACCAAGTGTCGGTGCTTTACTGTCTGTGGAACTTTTAAATGTGTTACAAGACTCTTGTTTCAAGTTCTGAGCCAAGCTGTTTGAGAGACAAAAAGTGGTGAGATGCTGCTTGTTTCCAGAAGAAAACAGAATAAAATTAAGCGATTAATTCTCTAGTTTTATATATAGCTGCAATAGTGTCGTTCTCTCTGTAGATGTCGTCTCTTTACCTCTCATTGTAAAGTAACTTGGTACATAATGATAAAAGACAACATATGTTTATTTTGTACAAAACATAAAAGTTATAGATTTGTGATTTACCATGTTTGTCATTTCCTCTTCTGAGAGGAGAGGAACTCTTTAGGAGGAGAGGTTGGTAAATATCCAGTTGAGCTGTGTTGTTGCTTAGCAGAATACAAACACTGATTCTGGTAAAAAATTTAGTTATACCCGATTCAAACATCTTAATGTGACTGTAATTTTACCATACTGTGTGGTGAAATTATTTTATCTTTATCAGCAGTGACCATTTGCTATAGAGTGCAGCAGGTTTTCTTCAGGATGGTGCATTCTGTTGGCACAAAATAGAAACATCACTTGGTGTGACTGTTATGATCCGGTGAGCACTGAGTAAACAACTCAACTCAATGTAGTTCATTCCTATGTGCAGGTTTTTGTTTCAAAACCGGAATTAGCTATGAATATCATATAGTGTTACATAAAAAGTAAATACTTAGTTTAGCAAAGAGCAGAAACTGGGCAGCAAAAAGCCTGTAAAGTCAGAATTCTGCAAAAAGTTCACATGCATAATAAATACTGATATTAGCAGTTTTATTTAAAACACTATATGAATTACTTTAACTGCAATTTGGACGTATGGGTGCAGATTCAATACCATGAGGCCTTCCTTCTCTGTTCTCATGGCTGGCTTTTAATGCACCTGTGTCTTTACTCCTACTCTCAAGTGGACCTGTGTCTGTGCGCTTATGTCAACCTTTGGCACTTTGAGGGTGGAACCAGCTTGAGGAAGTGAACTGCCTGTAATTGGCTACTTTTAGGAAATCCCACCTTTTAAAAAAGTAGTTCTTCCTGGTTGTGGCTATTAATATAAGCAAAGTGTTTTCAGGCTAATTGCTGTTCACACAGTTAAAGTTGTTTAAGCTACATCATCATTAAGTAACTTAATTTAACACAATAATGTGTTCTATCAGCAGTAGCTATATGTGCTAAGCTAACCATAGCTTCGCTGTCTATATTGCAGGAAGTAAGGCTTGAATTAAGTTTTGTTTTTATTTGAACATAAACATTTGCATTTCTAATCAGTTTGCAGAACTTTTTAGGCTTTTTCTTTAATGTCTATCATTTTATTTATAGATTTATCAGTTGATAAAAAAAGGCTGTTGCATATGAAGTCAGCATTCAACTATTGAAGAGATTAGCAATTATCTAAAATATGCTTTGTTAAATGTTATTTGCCAAAATCAGAAAAAAAACTTTTCTGCTTAAGGAGAAGGTATTTCCTAAAAAGTGGCAGACCACAACTGGTATACTTTCTCCAGCTGGTACCGCCCTGAAAGTGATGAAAGTTGACATAAGCCTAAGATTCTGTTACAACCACAATCACAGATATTGAACGTACACCCATGCCTCATGATATTTGTAGTAAAATGTGTGTGAACAGTAGTTTACATGTGTGGATCTCTGACAAAAGCGCTAGTAGGAGTTTTTATGAGGTGTGTGCACTTCTCTGAGAATTCTGACCTTATGGTAGCCTTGTACCACCCGTGCAAAATTTTCCTGCAACTCCAGCACTATTTATTCAGATTTTCTGAATTGCACATTAGAAAAATCTAAGAGAGGGCTCCCTAGGATGGATTTACCTATTTAAATGTCATAGATCTCCAGCCAGTGACATATTTGAGACTTACATTCATGCAGTAGGTTTTAATGATTAAATAAATGAAAATAAAAAAACATATCATATCAAACAAATATTTTTCATTCAGACACCAGGGCCATAATGTGAAAGGTGTATAAAATGCTGCTTGACTGTTCAGACTGCAGATTCTTTAAAGACTATCAATATGTATTCAATTCAGTATCGCATATGGAAATAGTTCAAATCAGATTTTTCGGGGGCAGTGAAAATATTAGAATTGGGCCATTCACATTGCTTACTTAAAAAGTTGGATATGAGTTGCATTTGGGCAAAAAGATTGGATTTGCCAACTGTGTGAATGTAGTCTAAAATAGCTGTTGGTCTACTATAACATCATATATGTGTGAAAATAAACAATCTAGATGCACTTCAGATGTTCTTTAAAAAAAAAAATCAATAATACACTAAGCACTATACAATCTACACTTGTGAATATGACTTTTTAGAACTTAAATGTGGAAAATTAAGTGAAACATGTTGATATTAGCTAGTATTCTAGTAAAAGTAGCAACACAACAATTTAGTTAGTCCCCAAAGAACAGTCCCACCGAGGGAGTGACCATAAGGCCAGATGTAAATTTCAACTTTTGCAAAAAAATATCCCCAGCCTAAGTTCTGCTGTTTAACTTTATATTCCTACGGGCCACTATCAAGGTATACTGAGAATTATAAAACAATATATGTTCAAAATCCCCCAAAAATGTCAGCATATAATTCCTACATTTAACACCTACTATATATAAGATGACAGAAAAATGACATGAGGAACCAGGGTTTCAAAAACTGTAGAACGCCTAGAGAGCAGAAGAGTTAAAAAACGGCAATATTGTTGCCATTTTTCCCTTGTTTACGAGATAATCTGTTAATATTTCAGAAGATGAAAACATGGACGATTGCGATGCAGAAACTATAACCACACAAACCATAATACTTATTAAAGTTTTATAATTGCACTTAGGGAGTTAGTATCCATGCACATTAAAAATGCAAATACAAGAAAGGCTTAATATTCTGGTCATCAGGAAATAAATAATACTAAATTTAGTGGGTGAATATATTAAAATTAGCTTAGGTAAATGTTGGCCATAATATTCGTTTTATGTTTCATTCAGTTTCACTAAGTTTCCAGTTGCAATTAGATTTTTTTTCTCTTATTAAATAAAGCAGTTAGAGGGTAATATACATTTTATCACATTTTAAGGCGCATTAATATATTTTTAGTCAAATGTTATCATACCATGAGTAAAACACACTGCTTAGAGTTGTTCTAGTTGCAGAACTGAACAAATAGTCAAGCATATAACACATACAATCATCAACAGATCGGTATACAAATGAAATAATGTGTATGTTGGTTTTTTAAGGGTTATGGGACATAGCTAGTGGGCCTGCAGTTAATCTTTATGCTAAACTAAAGTAGACTAATACAAGCAGTTAGAAAGAGGTTAATTACGTTTGATCTTTAAATAAAGACTGAGTCTAAGACAATTAAGCACATTCCCAGAAATGGTGACCCTTTTTTTCTAAATGTCTATGTAAGTCTTAATGGAAAGACTTAATGAAGCACTTATTTGGAATACATTTGCACATATTCTAATTGTACTGTTTAATTTGGGTATGCAATTGCTCCTACAGTCCACAAGATGGAGTAATGCTGATAACATTAAAAAAGACACAACACTGTGGTGGCCAAATAAAAAAAGGAGTTTGATAAACAGCAGTAAGAAATATGAGATTAAAGAAAAAGAAAAGAAGCACAGCGAACATCCAGAAACAAGCACAAATTTTGATACAGCTTTTTTCTTGTTGAAATGCTTAGTGGCCAATATCCTAGACTGAATAATTCCAACAGTTTTAAAACCAATCATTCCAGTAGTAAGCCTTTTTTTATTTTATTTTTTTTTTATTTATTTTTTTTTTTTGAGAAAGAGCAGGTGCTCTTTGACATCAGTAAGTAGCATCACTGTCTTTCTAAATTCAGATTCATTAAAATTTTTTGAAAGAGTTTTATGTCCTGAAAGAGGCAATACGAACTTAATCTGCTCAGAGTTTGATGGGATAACATCTAGCTATAACAGTCTTCTGTTCGTGATTTCCTGTTTTGTATTTTCATATAGTATTAAGTGACCGCCATGACGCCATCTTTCCATATTTCTCAACCTTTACAAACTCAACTGAACCCTTATCTCCCCCTACTATTGTACAGCTATGTAAAAAAGTTATATAGTCAGACCGTGTATGTGTTTGCTTTTTCTTTAGGGCAGGTTGGTTTCTGTTTCTGTGAGTTAGAGGAAGACCAGGCTTTGACTGATTTTTATTTGTCATTTTTCTTGTAGTGTAAAGTAGACAATGTCAGGTGTATTATGTATTACATGTGTAGTAGATTAGCTATTACTGCCAAACCTGCATGTAAAGCAGGTTCTTGTGTCAGTATTAATGTCCATGTACCTTAAATCTACAAGAACTAGCTCTGTGCTACTCTACTAATCATACCTAGTAATATCTTTTAGGAAAAAAGTTAAACAGTACTAGACGTTAAAAAAGAAGACTGTAATCTCCATATTTTGTTTTTTTCTTCTTTATTTACACTGCATTCTGGTTGTTTTTTTTTTAAGCTGTTTCTATTGACGATTAAAGCCAGCTGATATTAAAAAGCGTTGCCAAACAAAAAAGCTTTGGATCGAAACTTGAAATACAAAAGAATGGAGCTCTGGCACAGACACAAGATGCAGCTACATCACAATACCTTTGTTTCTAGTTGTTTATTTTTGTTTGTTTGTTTATTTGTTTTTTTTTAAACAGTATTACATCTTAAAACAATTTTACACTGTGCAGTGCCAACATAAATCTTGCTGCAGCATATCATGTGGCCTCCTCATCTTGAGGCATCTGGCTGTTTCTTTCAATGTTAGTATGTGAAAAGCAAAATATAAACACCAAAATTAATATGTGATAAAACTGAATTACCACTCAGAAATCATATTCTTATTTCTGTGCCTACTGTAATCAGCAGATAATGATTTTGGGTAATTTTGGAATCCAGTGTACTGGCTTTGGTTGCATTGCAGTCCAGCAATCTGGGATGTATCAGATATGTTATACTTCATTTATTCGATACGGACCAACCTGCCATGATGAAGAGTAAATGCAGAAATAAATAGGAAGGTAAATTAGGAAATTAATTTGACTTAAACAGTAAAAAATTATAATAATAATGAAAACAAGAATTTTTAATAATTATTCAATACTGACCGAATTGAGATTTGCATTTTAGTTTTAAACTGCACTAATTAATCTTTGTGTCACTATCCCTATTTATTTAATTGATAACTTTAAATAAACAAAAAAAAACATTTTTTATTTATTTAGTTTCTCTTATTTGTATTTATTTATTTAAAGACAATATTATTTATGGAATGTTGTCCTGTCATCGTTTTTTGTCATACTGCCCCACAAAAAAACATTCAATATTTGCTCTTTTTATTGTCATTATTTAATTCTTTTTTATATCATTTTATATCTGGTCAGTTGGGTAAAAAAACACAACAAGTTAACAAAATTTTAAACTTAATTTGAAAAAAAAAAAAACATTTTGGGGAAAAAATCTTGAAGCAATAAAATTAAACAGTAAGTGATATCTAAAATAAAAAGCAAGTGAATACTTAAAATAATCATTGAAAAAAGAAAAGATAAAAAGAACTGATGAATATTATGCTTAAAGCTAAAATAAAGATGTAAGTGTTTCCATGCCAGAATAATTGCTAAACACTGTTGTTTTTATGTGTGTTTGCCGGTTAACCTCTTTGTATAAAAAGATTAATATTTCTGTATTCATTTTTGATTGTGGCAGAGTTGGTCCAAATGTTCTAATTGCATCTTGGGAAAAACTGCTATGAGAACAAACATTTAATGATCCTGCTCCTAGATTATTAATATGTTGTTATTTACCATCGCTATGCAGAAAGTAACTAATGTTGATGAAAATAATCAAGGTTAAAACCATTTCTGAGCTGGTATACAAAACACAAATGTACATGTAGTGAAAAGTTAAACACTTAACTATGACCTTTCTATTTTTTGTGGTTTTATGTAAATGACAGAAAATTACCTCTTGAATATCTTACTACTGTTCATTCAAGCTTACTCATACTGTAGCACTTTAGAAGAATCAGTAGTGTTTTAAAAAACTGAAATATAAATCACTTATACATTTAAAAAAAAGCACAAGGAAAGAAACCTTTTTTTGTAAGACTATGGCTGAGAGAACTTCCCGTGTTGCATTGTTGGAGTGGAGACAAAAAGCACACCTGAGAAAAAAGAACACAGCTCTTCTGGTACCTTCTATCATATATATATCTGTATCTGTTGATCTATCTATCTAACCGTGCGTGTTCTTCTTGTTCTTCAACCTTTAGGGCCAAATTCCATTGAACTGTCTTAGTCTTGTCACCTGTATATCGTAAACTGTTGAATTACAAAATGGTAAATAAAATCTATTTTAAAGATCACTTCTTGTGTCTTTTTCTTAAATATTTTTAATCCATCTGTTGATTTTGTTGGGAATAAATGACATATGCATTTACATGTGTTTAATTAATCTTGTTTCTTAATTAAAATGCCTTAATATATAATAAAAGGTAACCTCATGTTTTTTTTCCTCATGTATTGTTACTCTTTGCAATGACGTATAAAAAGGGTCCAAATAATTGAAGCAATATCACTACATTGAAACATAAACCTTAAATGTTGTGTTTCTAATACTTTTTATATCACAGTTAGAAATCCAGGATTTTGAGACTTAGAATTTTAAATTCCTGTAAATTTCCCCTGTGCTTTATATGCATCATCAGTTAAATCCAAAGTTATATAAAAAAGATGTAACTACAATGTGCACACCCTTGAAAATGTATCTCATAAAAACTGTTTTTAGTTTCAATTCTCCTGTAGCATTTAGTCTTTGTGGATAAGGTCCTGAAATTATTTAATAATAAAATATAATAATAATAATAAATTTAATTTATACTGCACTTTCCAACAAAAGATCTCAAAGTTAAAAGAGAGAAAAACATCTAAAGGGGACTAAAAGCTTTGCTGAAAGTAAATTTTTTATGGCCTTTTTAAGATTGAGGTGCCCTCAAGGTGTCAGGGAGGGCGTTCCACAGATGTGGGGCAGCAGCACAGAATTCCCAGATTCAAGAGAATCTACATAAAAGTAAATATATGTTTAGTAGTCTAAGAGGATTTTCCAGTCATGTGCACATTACCTTAAACCATATTTTGCTGAAAGAGTAGGGAAAACTCCACTGCATTTTAAATGCTGGGACACGTAACATAGATAGAGCAGATAGGTTTCATGCAAATATAGAAATTTAGAGATGTAGTGTAAATACTACACTGGAGCTAGAGCCTTCTCAATAATTGGTGAAAATAAGGAAGCTATGCAGCCTATATAGCCTGTTAAAAACCTGACATTAGCAGTGTCTGAGCTGCACAAATTTCCAATGCTAGCTGTGTTTTACATGTAATAACAGTCTGCTCTATTGTCCCTGTGTTTGGAAAAAAAGAAAAACTCCAAATATCAGTCAGTTCTAGCCTTCAGGTTTTGTGAAAAGCAAAATATATTGCAGGGTTTGAATTCTCTGCATCACAATAGGAAGACCCAAGACCAGATTTAAAATAAGAAAATTGAAATTTAATTGAAATTTTTTGTCAGAATTTAGAACTACATTCATAAACCAACCTGCAGCGCTGCATTGGGTGAGCAGTCATAGAGAGATACACTATATTGCCAAAAGTATTTGCTCACCTGCCTTGACTCACATATGAGCTTAAGTGACATCCCGTTCCTAATCCATAGGGTTCAATATGACGTCGGTCCACCCTTTGCAGCTAGAACAGCTTCAACTCTTCTGGGAAGGCTGTCCACAAGGTTTAGGAGTGTGTTTATGGGAATTTTTGACCATTCTTCCAGAAGCGCATTTGTGAGGTCGCACACTGATGTTGGACGAGAAGGCCTGGCTCTCAGTCTCCGCTCTAATTCATCCCAAAGGTGTTCTATCGGGTTGAGGTCAGGACTCTGTGCAGGCCAGTCAAGTTCATCCACACCAGACTCTGTCATCCATGTCTTTATGGACCTTGCTTTGTGCACTGGTGCACAGTCATGTTGGAAGAGGAAGGGGCCAGCTCCAAACTGTTCCCACAAAGTTGGGAGCATGGAATTGTCCAAAATGTCTTGGGATGCTGAAGCCTTCAGAGTTCCTTTCACTGGAACTAAGGGGCCAAGCCCAGCTCCTGAAAAACAACCCCACACCATAATCCCCCCTCCACCAAACTTTACACTTGGCACAATGCAGTCAGACAAGTACCGTTCTCCTGGCAACCGCCAAACCCAGACCCGTCCATCAGATTGCCAGATGGAGAAGCGCGATTCGTCACTCCAGAGAACGCGTCTCCACTGCTCTAGAGTCCAGTGGCGGCGTGCTTTACACCACCGCATCCGACGCTTTGCATTGCACTTGGTGATGTATGGCTTGGATGCAGCTGCTCGACCATGGAAACCCATTCCATGAAGCTCTCTGCGCACTGTTCTTGAGCTAATCTGAAGGCCACATGAAGTTTGGAGGTCTGTAGTGATTGACTCTGCAGAAAGTTGGCGACCTCTTCGCACTATGCGCGTCAGCATCCGCTGACCCCGCTCCGTCAGTTTACGTGGCCTACCACTTCG